AACACGTGCTTGGCATCGCTCGGACGTGTGCATTTTTTCTTCGGCGAGGACCATCGAGGAGCATCCTGGATCATTTGGCGACAAACGCACGAAACCGAAACAAAAACACAGGGAACGGACGTCCGAGCGATGGCCAGCGTGGCTCTGGCCTCAGCGCCGCGCACACTCGTCGTCAAAGCTTGCCGGAGTCTCGCGGATGGGGGGGCGCCGCGCACGTTGGTCTTCAGAGGTTGTGAGGGTCTCGCGCTGGCGCCGCGCACATTCAGTTGGAGTGGTTGCAAGAGTTTCACGGGTGGGTGCCGTGCCGTTGCCAAAAGTTGGCTCTCGCGTCATCGCCGCGCTCATTCGCTGGGGCTTCGCGGATGGAGGGCGTGCGCTTTTCAAATAATGTAGCGTTTGCCATAGCGCCGAGCGCATTCGTGGTCAATGTTTGCATGCGTTTCACGGGTGGAGGGTGGCCTCGTTTCAAAATGTGGTTCTCGCCTTAGCGCCGCGCACATGTCACCCAGATTTTACAGCAGTCCCACGGATTCTCCTGGTTACGTGCCAGGAAACATTCTGGTACGATTTAGGGGTGTCAGGGCGCAACAGTCACAGTGATTCGCGATGTTGGGGACCCAGGAATTGGGTTCTGGCACGGTTCAGGAGGACGCAACAGGAACGGTCATTCGCGGCGTCGAAGTCCCAGGAACGGTGTTCTGGCACGGTTCAGGATTTTCAGTCGGTTGTCTTCCAGCGGGGCGCTTCGCTTTGTGAACATGAGTTTTCGCAGGGGCTTGTGACAAGGAGTTTGAAGGAACGCAAGTTGGTGAGTGCAGGGCTTGCACTGGTTCACCTCCTCCTCCTCCTGCTCCTCCTCCTCCTCTTTTGTCCCCTCCTCCACCTCCTCCTCCTGCTCCTCCTCTGTTGCCCCCCTCCTCCTCTTGAGCGCATGAGCAAGTGGCGTGTGGCATCGCGCCGAGTGAAGGTCATACGCATACCGTGCCACCACATTTCGCTGAGCCCCAGTCGTACCGTTCGACACGATCCATGTTCCTCTCGCTTCGCGGGGCACTCCCCTGGAATCTTCTTGGAGGCCCCTTTTGGGGCTCTTGGAGGGCTTCTTGGGCCGTCTTGGGGCGCTCTTGCGCCGTCTGGCCCCTCGGATGCCGTCTTGGAGGCCTCTCGGGGCCGCCTTGTGGCTCTCTTGGGGTCTTTTTGGGCCGCCTTTGGGGGCCTCTTGGGCCTTCTCGGGTTTTTCCGTGGCATTGTCGGGAGCTTCTGGTCTGGGGCCGTCCTTGGGCCATTTCGGAGGCTGCTTGGGCTGTCATGGTCCCCCGAGGATCGAAGAAGGTGAGAGCGCGAAAATGTAGCAAGAGCCTTCGGGAAATGAATGCCTTTGGCGTCTGAAGGTGGTCTTGGGGGGCCTCTTCGTGGCCCTCCCAAGCCGTCTTGAGAGCCGCTCGAACCCCCTGGGGGGCTGGGTCGTCTCGATGCCGTCTTGGGCCAGCGGGAAGCTGCCGTGGGCCGTCCCGAGGCTTCCTTGGAACCCACAGGAGGCCCCAGAGGCCGATGGCGTAGATTGCCCCTACGCTTTGGTACGTGTCGGGTCCGGGAACGGGAAGGGCCACTCTGGTCCGCCAGTGTGGCGCGACTCCAGGGGAGGTAGGGGGGGACATAACCAGGTGAGAAAGTGCACTCTGTAGCAGTTACGTAGTGTTTGATGTAGTGGAAACGTTGCGTTGAGGCCGTCGCCAGAAAACGCTGCCGCTCAGCACGCCACCTCCGGTCGTGGACTCAAATGGCTTGCGCCACCCCGCCGACCCCCCGAAGGGGTAAGTGCGAGAGACGCTCGTGGAAGTCATTTTGTGGCCTTCGGAACAACCCGTCACTCTGCCTGGGCATCTGAGGGTCTTGGTACGCCTGTCGGGGGCCTCTTGGAGGGCTCTTGGGGGCCTCTTGCATGGCTCCTGTGGCCTCTGGGGGCCCCTGTGGCCCTCTTGGAGGCCTCTTGGAGGGCTTCCTGGGGCGCCTCGGGGGCCTCTGGCGGGCTTTTGAGGCCACCGCGCGGGCGAAGGGCTCGGAGTGTCAGCTCGTACTCCCCTTCTTGGGCCCTCGTAAAGCCATCTGGGGCCTCTCCTTGGCCGTCTTGAGGGCCCCTGGGACCGTTGGGGTCCTCTTGGGCCGTCTCGGAGCCTTCTTGGGGGCCTCTTGGGCCCTCTTGGGGCGATCTTGCGGGCCCCTCGGGCCGTCATGGACGCCATGAAGACGAAAGGGGGGGCGACTTTGCTAACCATGTGAGTTCTCCAGATGGAATGAGACGAGTTTTGCCTCTGGGGGCTTTCTCGGCGCACTCTTGCCCCGTCTTGGGGGCCTCGTGGGCCGTCTCGGAGCCATCCTGGACCGTCGTGCTGCTATCTTGGGCCGTGTCGACGCTCTCTTGGGCTATCTTGGCGTTCTTTGTGAGCCGTCTTGGGGTTGTTTGGAGGCTTCGGAGGCTTGGGGAGAATCTTTGGCGATC